CAATGAGATGGTTTTGTAAGTTTGTTTGTGGTCTACGGCCTACACACATTATGTCTGTAGTGCTAATAATCATATGTGCATCTCAGGACTAAAACAGATTTACTTTTTTGCCCCTTTAGCAGAGGAGGTGTTCTGACTGTATATATTATATATTATAGTTTTAATGAATGTATTACACCACTTGTGTGAGCTTCTGAAGTGTCTTAAATTAGTAGATATGTTAAATTCATACATACATACCTCTCAAAATACATAAACCAGTTCACATTTTTCAGGTATTTGACATATTGTCCAGCAGATATGCTCCCTATAATGCATTGGTATATATATATATATATATAACATGTTAGAAGCTCAGGACATCAGGACTCTTTGCTATGTCAATATATTTGTACCTTCTCCTGGTAGTATGGCCCATGAGAAATTTTTTCCTACAGCTCCAGTCCTCCAGGATGGTAGGTGACTTATTCCTATGCAAATATATGCTTGCTATCATTATTTTGACATATTTATACCTGATCATGGCCATGGGAGGGCTTCACATATGTACCATAAGGAATATATGAACAAATTGTATAGTCTATCCAATGATAATGTAGTGAAAAACTTCAAAAATGCGAAAATATGGTACAGTGTATGCAGGAGGAGACTTTGGATTGTAGACAAGGATTCTGATATTGTTCTGGTATATCTATATGATAAATATATCTTATATGTACATATTAAAAGCCCACCTACCATCCTGGAGAGCTGGAGTTGCAGGAATTTTTTTCTCAGGGGATGAACCACTAGGAGGATGTAAATATATATAACCCCAGGGACTGATCCTACTAACCTATGCTCCTGATATATTGTGTATGATACTGAAGAGATATTAGAAACCATATTTTGAAGCTCATATACTTAAACACTAAAAAATGTGAAACACTCCTTTCATAATGTGTACTTGAGAAAGACAAGCTTACAATACTACAAGGAATAGTTCTTGTGTCTTGAGTTTCTAACATGTAGTACATGCATACAAAGTCATTGTAGGGAGCATATCTTCTGGACAATATGTCAAATACCTGAAAAATGTGAACTAGTGTGGAAAAGAAATTCAAGAAAGCAGTTTGGATGGCAGCCATTGGAGCCTCGTGCATGGCCGAGGGCATTTCTACTAATAAAGTGCGATCTTTCTGAATATAAGTCAATCTATACAGAAGTATGGTCGCAATTAGATACAGTGTGACCCAACTTGAAGTATTGCTAGCACCAACACACCTTGTATTCACACCTGAATGAACACTCTATGAATCATTCTAGCTTTGTGTATTTCCCAGGTGCAACAGCAGAGAACTCCTGATAAGTGATGATAAAAATGATGAATTAGTATCACTAAGCCCATCAATTTGAGAGATAACATACCTCACACTCTGCAGTATGATATGAGATGAACTGTAGGACCTTCTTGCATATATATCGACCTTCAAAAGTTCAAGAAAAGTTAGTGTCGACATATGCATAGGCTAAAACATTATGATCACTACCTGATGGCGAGATCTTAGGGTTGGCCGAATTGAAATGATGTAGTAAAATATATGTTCGCTTTGGCACTCTTGCAGTAGCAAGGATCGAAATTGGGCTGTTATGTTCTGCTTTGTCCATGGGTGGAGGTGCAGAAATAGTTTGTCGAGTGCCTTCGACCATTAAATAGTCTGCAGGTTCATCTGAAATGGATCTGAGTTTGGTTTTTGCCTTGATGGTCTTCTCCCTGCTACTGAGCATGGACCTACTCCTTGTTTGTCTGGTGATATCGGGAAGGAGATAACTGGTACAGAATGGATTTCTGACTATCGTCGTACTAGTAGTAGTCGACATGCTGATGATCAGAAGAGTCTGAATCACCACTCAACTTCAAGAAAACAAAAGGTGGCTAAAATGATGATCCACTGGGATACCTTGCTTACTAGAGTGGCTCTTTGGCACATGCTTAGCTAAGGATCAGGCCTCAGGTTTGGTGTCTACGATTTTGATCTGATCTACGTGACAGGGGCAAAATATTTAAGATAAAAACAAATAAATCATTAAACCATGCCAGACGACAAATATACAGCATGGCAGTCACCTTTATTAAAGACATAGTAAATGAGAGTGTGAGCAGAAACGTTCTGTTGTCATGCATGGTATGTGATTTATACCATGTCAGATATATATAGAGAGTGATAAGGAAGATATGAGAGACTGTCTAGCCCTCTGTCACTGAGTTACTTCTCCATTTTTCCTTTGATTCATTGTCTTGTATTTTATTTCTCACTTTTCAGACTTATTTTTAACTTGTATTTGTATCAAGCATGTGACCTTCTGTTTATTTCTCATTGTTTATTGTTATTTGGCTTCTTTCAGCCACCAAGTTTTGTATCTCTATTTATTTCTGACTGTTTATTTTTATTTGGCTTCTTTCAGCCACCAGATTTTATTTGTCATCACATCATGTGACTGGGAAATATTCTGGTTTGTAATATTATTTAAGCTGACTCAACATGTTCACTCATGGTTTGTCATGGTTTGTAATTTCTTTGTAAGATTACACTGTATTTGTAATGTGCTTAGTAATAAGCTGATTCATCACCTGGTTTGTAAGCCACATTCTTATCAATCCATCTGATTAATCATGCTTAGTAAGGGGGTTCCCAAAAGGTATAAAAGGACCCCATTTTCACCCATGAAATACAATCCTCCCACTTGACTCTTATCTCAAACCGTGTGAGACCACTAAGACTTAAAGTGCAGGCCAATATAAGTGCCTTGAGGTAATCTAAGATATCATTATCTACTCTAAGTTGTATACTACCTTACAGGGGTTGACTATATAACCATTGAACAGCTCTCATTCTAAGCTTTACGTGTATTCATAAGACTCTCTCTTTCAACAGAAAGTGAGACACATATCTAAGGACAACAAAGTTGAAACAGACTTTCATAGGTTGAAACACGACCTACTAGGCTGAAACAAACCTAACAAATTTATCCAGAACACAGAACGTTCCACAACACTTCGTATAAGACTATATAAGAAGAGGACAACAAACTAAATCCTCCCAAGAACTCACCACGTTACTTCCCACGAAGTAGAAAAGTCGGAGACCGTGGACTTAAAGACTGGCAAGAAGTCTTCACTGTGTATAATTGTGTTGTCATTATACACAACTTTCATATAAGACCCTTAAGTAACAAGACATCACATGTCAGGCAATGCATGATCAAAACTGCTACAGCTGCACCTGGCGCTCTTGAGGATGTTTCACTCCAAGTCAGTCACCTCATCGCATGACCAAGGGATAAGAGTAGTCATGTCTGCAGTGCTAGTAGCCGCTGATCTATAGTGCAGGTATATAATTATATTACCTGTATTTGAATAAATTAGCATTAGACTCAAACTTGAAGGCATTGCGAGCAAGATGAATCTGATAGTACTAGTACACACTGAGTCTGATGCTGCTGCCGCTGCCGACACTAATCATTACTATACCACATGCTGCTGTGTCTCCTGTGAGGTAGGCGACTCGAAAGTAAAAGATATGAGCATGAGCAAGGTTATTTATCTAATGAAGGATTTGAGGGAAGGGGCTCAGAATTGGTAACATCCTTAGGTATGAGGGTCTTGAATGCAGTGGAGTTAGGGCTAGGACTCTTGTAGGATGTAGCTTCATTGATCAAAATAATAACTACAAGGTCAACTTCTAGATGAGCCAGTACCTCACTCTATATCTTTGAAAAGATATAATCTTTGTGTTTAGTTAATGTACACTGCCCAAGCCCCAATATCAGCACACTCTCCATGGATCCTTCCACAGCTGTAATAGTTATGGTCACCAGGAGTCACAGATTTATGCTTGATCTGCAGTTTATGATTCATGTAAATTTGAGGACAGACAATGTCACTATTGTAAGGAATACTGGTGATGGCTATAGTAAGACAATCTTTGAGGTAGTCAAATGACTCTTTGTAGAAATTACTAGTCATGTTGATTATAAGTACAAGTTCATTGTAGTTATAAGTAAACCTATTTGACCAATTTTTTTGCTCCCACACTAAGAAATTTCTATGATATGATATTTCATAAGCAACTTAGCACCACATGATTGAGTTAGAAAGAGCCTACCTAACAGCTTTTTTCTGAAGCCAGCTCAGTGATATACTTCAAAATTTCCCTCACACCTTCAATCTGATTAGAATATAATGGTTAATCTACTTGCAGTGCAACATACTGTGGGTAAGGGGTTCACCATTAAAGGACTCCTACATCTGGTCATCATTATTTGAATCTATCAAAGTAGGAAGGATAACTTCAACTGGTTTTCTCTTGTACCCTTTTTGATGTTAGTAAGGCCTTTTTAAGCATCAACTCCTTTGGAATGATGCTTCATTTACACATAGACTTATATGTGATAAGTCACAGTAACACTAGTCTTTGATTTATCAAACTTTTGCCTTGCTGACTAGTGATGCAAGTATTAAATTTGTCTTGACTGAGGGAATGTTTTCTACTGCAAAGAAATACTATTTTTAGAGTGGAGATGAGGTCACTAAGTTGTCAAGTTATCATAATTAGATCTTAAAAGGACAATGCAGTAAATAAAAATAAATAATTGACTTGCTTCTGGACCTCCTATATTAGACCTATCAATGCTTTGTTACTAGCATTTTCTCTGTAAGCTTGTTCTCAAATATGTTGAAGCCAATAATCAATAATAGGTGATATGATAAAAAACCTGGTTTCCCTCATAATATACTAATTTAATCATAAAATAAAATGTCAAAGTTTGTCTTCTAAGTGAGTCCGAGGAACGAGGACAAACATAGAATGTCGTCTATGTGACAGATGTCCTTTTTGGGACATCGCTTCTTTGCTTCGTACTACCACTTGCAAACTCTCAGTACTCCACGACACCAAGTCGTAACACTCGTTCTTTCGCATTTCCTTTATACAACGGACTAGAATCCTTTCAACTCTAATATGCCTCGTCTTCCGAGCGACCCGAATTTGAGTTTTTGTCCTAATTATGCAGATGACGCCTTCATTAACACGAGGCTTCAACTAACCAATGAGAATATCACTGAAGCTCAGGCTATTGTAATACTCAGGAACATATGGCAAGCGGAGAACGATGCCACAAAGCTTCAATGGCAAGAACAGCTAAACGAAGACAGAGACAGGTGAGAACACTTAGAGAGACTCAAGAACGAGGAGCAAGAAAGGCAGGAGCAAGAGACCCATGACAAGGAGGAAGCAGCGCGGAAAGAAGATAGGAAAAAGAACAAGCATAAATACACTGCGGTTCCAAATCTTGACGTCCCTCTGAAGGCCACAATCCTTCCATCTTCCTATGCTTTATGCAAACTCGACAAGGGCGAGTACATTGAGCTATGGTACTTTACCAACGACGGTCTTGACGATGCGAAACTCAAGAGTTCTGTCGATGAAGACGCCATGATCATGGCCACTGTTACAAGTAACATCGGCTACATGGCCCCCCTATCATTTTTCCCCTTTGTCCTTGCCCTCGTATGCCTCCAGCTCGTACTTCTCTACCGACTATCCGTTGACCGGATCCTCGGGACCATTCCCGTCCCTCATCCCCCTCCTATCGCACCAACGTGCGCACGTGCCTTCAGGCTATGACTCGTTCTGACGCGTGCCACCAATGTGGCTTTCCTTATCTTGTCTTATCTTTCCTCTGACTCATGCGTGCTGCACATTGTATCTTTTACCGTTGGCTCATTCCAACGTTTCTCGGTCTCATTCCGCATTCAACCTCACATCACTAATCAGGCTCTGCTATCAGTGTACCTATACCCTTTCCGTCTCCCCTTTGCCCTTACCTACAGTATGGTAGCCTTGCCCTTAACCCTTTCCACTTAGTATAAGTAGTCGGTCACTCTGTACTAGATTCCCTAACTTGAATCTACTCAATCTTCCCTCGAACATACTTCCCTCTGAAGCCCCCTCAGCTTCAGTCTCTAGTATCTTTTCTTAGGTGCTCGTCGCGCCTAAGTCTACCTCGATCGACTACTCATCGTTCGGACAAGACTGTCCTTACTTTGAGAACGTCAGTGACTTTAAAGACATCTGTCTTAGAAGTCACGTGACACGCGCGTCTCTGATATCTGCCGACTTGTCGTTGCCAGTCTCAGTCGCTACACCGGACCCTTCCGGTTACGTCACGAACATTAGTGGACGACGCCCCTCTTAGGGCTCCGCATAACAGATCTATTTGAGTGCGTAACAAAAGATTCAAGTTACTTTTTTTGTGCCCTGCCATCCGCATGGCCATTAACCGACAGACACCATGACTACCTGGATCCCGAAGTACCCTTGGGAACGCGATCCCAACACTCCAGACTCCGAAGAAGAAGAATCGGAAGAAGACCACACGTCCTCTGACGAGTTTCCCGACGAACAACCGTATGGCAACCTCAACTCGAACCCTGGAACAAGAATGTCCGGAGGCCCCACCCAACAACTGACAGTGGTCGTATCCAGACCTGAACTAAAGGCTGGAGTACCACAGAACTATGATGGAAGCATCGATGATTCCGAGCGCTGGATGTACTCAGTGGAGACATACTTCCTCATCAACCCGACGATCTACAGCACCGACCAAACCAAGGTCGCTGTTGCACTCCAGTATATGAACGATGGAGATGCCCGCGTCTGGGCCGACACCTTCTACCAAACGGCTTTCGACAAACCTACTGTCAACTTCGGTAGCTGGAAGGACTTCAAGAAGGCTTTCATCGAATCCTTCCACCCGATCGACCGGATGACCGAGGCTCTAACCAAGCTTCACGGTTTGTGTCAAACCGGCGACGTGATGCCCTACATTGCGACGTTCAAAACCCTGTCATCCACTGCTAGTCTCAAGCAGGACGTCGCCCTCATCCACTTCTTCGAACGAGGGTTGAAACCAGGACTTCGAACCGCCATCTACGGGAAGGAGGTCGTCCCCACCACTATCGACAAATGGTACACTGCTGCGACACAGTTGGAAGCCAACTACAAGCGATCAAGAGCAGTTGTGTCCAACAACAGATCGGTACGCCCTTCCGGCCACCGGCACGTCCCCAAGCCTCAGGTCCGCCAATGCGATCCTGATGCTATGGACGTCGATCGTTCCCTCACGCCTGAGGAACGACAGAAGTGCTTCGATAAAGGCCTTTGCTTCAAATGCAAGGAGAAGGGCCATCGAGCAAACGACTCCCGGTTCCACCCGAAGGTGCGCCGAGGAGACAAGAACGACGAAGAAGACAAAGGCAAGAAGCCAAGCAAGTCTGGCGTCCGCCAGCTTGATGAGTCTTCTGACAGGGAAGACATGGAAGTCAACCTTGTCAAAAGAAAGGATTTTTAAAGAGAGGGCTTGTCGAACGGTCAATTCCCTCTATCTGTGCATTGTATACTAAAGCTGTTGGTAAATCCAACGAGTTTCGTGTCCCGGTGACACTTTTCTCTTCTTGCAGTGCCAAAACTGTTCAGTCGACCGCCATCATCGACTCAGGGGCAGGTGGGACTTTCATTAGCTATGACTTCGTCAAGCGAAATGGGATCCGGACCCTCCTACTCAAGAAACCCTTCCGGATCACCACAGTAGACGGGAGCCCATCCTCGGCAGGACAGGTAACCCACTACTGCATGCTATTCATTCGTCTCGATCGGAGACTTATGTATGGAAAGTTCAACATAACGAAACTTTCCAAGCATGATGATCTACTTTTTGGAAAACCTTGGCTTAGCGCCATGATGCCCAATATCGACTGGAAGGCCAACATGATCTCCCTGCCTGCAACCAATAGCTCAAAGGAGGTGGAGAGGGAACTCAACGCCTCCCGGCGAGAAAGCAAGGCCAAGCCATATCTCTTTTGTGGAGAAAAGGCTGTCCTAGAAGAACTCGACGACAAGGATTTTTTGCCCCTCAAGCGACTCCCCGAAGGCACGCAACATTGCCTCGAAGAAATCAAGAAACGCAGAAAGTGTAACAAGAAGAAGACGACACCAATCATCGTGCCCTTCGAACACACCGACTTCAACACTATGGACGATGTCTGGGTCGGACAGACCCATCTCGTGCATAAAGTTGAGGAAATCTCCACTTATCCCCTCACTGATGATGAAGTTCTAGTGGAATATGCTTCGGACGGAACATCCGTCTGGATCATCGAGAACATCTCTTTCGACACCCCGCTCACCAAGGACGGGACCTCGAAGAAAGAAATCTGGAAGGCTCTCCACAGATGAGCAAAACCTCTCCGGAACCTCTGGATCCTCGCTTCTCAGCAGGACTACACGAAGACCTCCAATAAAGCTCAAGAATTTGCTATGGAGGACGCACAGGAGAAGAAGAAGAAATCATTCGAAGAACTGGTACCTTCCTATCTTCATGATTTTGCTGATATCTTCGGAAAGGACGGTCTAAACAAACTCCCTCCCTCTCGGCCGGGGGTAGACCACAAGATCGAGACGAAGGAGGGCTTCATTCCGAAGTCTTCTCGAGCCTACCCGCTCTCACCAAAGGAAACCGACGCTGTCAAAGCATTTTTGGATGAACACCTCGCCAAAGATTTCATCCAACCCTCGAAGTCTCCTCAAGCTGCTGGATTCTTCTTTGTCGGCAAGAAGGACGGATCTCTCCGCCCCTGCCAGGACTATCGATACATCAACGAATGGACGATCAAGAACGTGTACCCACTCCCTTTGATACCACCCTTGCTTGCGAAGCTCAACAAGGCGCAATGGTTCACAAAAGTCGATGTACGCTCAGGATACAACAATATCCTCATTCATCCCGACGATAGGTGGAAAGCCGCGTTCTCCACCTCATACGGGCTCTTTGAGCCCAAGGTAATGTTTTTTGGATTGTGCAATTCGCCCGCTACCTTCCAAGCTTACATGAACCAGACGTTTTCAGAAGAACTGAACGAAGGATGGTTAATCGTCTATATGGACGACATCCTGATCTTTTCAGATAACCTGGACGAACACCGGCAGAGGACCCGCCGAGTGTTAGAGAAACTCCGCAAAGAGTCTCTCTTCCTCAAACCCGAGAAATGTACTTTCGACACTCAAGAAGTCGAGTACCTCGGTATGATCATTCGACCCGGACAGGTCGCTATGGACACTGCCAAGCTGAAAGGCATCAGCGAATGGCAACAACCCTCTTCAGTCAAGGACGTGCGGTCCTTCCTCGGATTCTGCAACTTCTACCGTCATTTCATTCCCCACTATTCCGACATCGCACGCCCTCTCCTAGACCTAACCAAGAAGGAGATCCCCTTCTCTTGGTCTGATTCCACTGAAGCTTCATTCCAGCATCTGAAGAAGCTTTTCACCACCGAACCGGTTCTGCGGAACCCCGACTCTTCGCGACAGTTTGCACTTGCAACTGACGCTTCACTCTTCGCGACGGGAGCAGTCTTGCTCCAGACCGATAGCAATGGGGATTACCACCCCTGCGGCTATCTCTCCCAATCCCTCAACGCGGCCGAACGGAATTACGAGATCTATGACCGGGAACTCCTTGCCATCATTCGAGCCCTTCAGGCTTGGAGGCACTTCCTCGAAGGAAACCCTCACCCGGTCATTGTCTTCACGGATCACAAGAACCTGATCTATTTCCGCTCCGCACAACGACTCACCCGACGACAGGCCCGGTGGCACCTCACACTCACCAACTTTGATCTGGAACTTCACCACGTTCCTGGAACAAAGCTCGCTGCACCAGATGCCTTATCCTGCCGTCCGGACCACGCTATAGCTGGTCAGGATAACGAAGATCGTATCCTCCTCCCCGACACCCTGTTCACCCGTCTAATTGACGCTGAACTCGCAGACGAGTTCCAACGACTCTCTGACGACCCCTCCGACCAGACTGTGAAAACAGCCTTGGACGCTCTCTCCGGGGTGTGCGCACCCCCATGAAGTCTGCACTTTCCGATTGGAGGTTCACCGATGGTGTTCTCTTCTATAAGGATCGTGCCTATTTTCCCCCCGACCTCCGGCATCGCGTGTTGTCTCTGCATCACGATCACCCAACCGCCGGGCACCCCGGGTGTTCGGGTACCGAATGGAACATCAAGAAATCCTACTGGTAGCCCGGAATGGGCTCCTTCATTAGGAAATATGTCGATGGCTGCACCATGTGCCAGCAGATGAAGGTTAACACCCACCCCACGACACCTCCCCTCACCCCGATACCCTCCTCAGCCCTCCAGCCCTTCGCTCAGGTTTCGGTTGATTTGATCACCGACCTCCCCGAGAGCACCGGCTACGATTCTGTCATGGTCGTGGTAGACCATGGGCTTACGAAGGGGGTAATTCTCTGCCCTTGCAGAAAAACCATCACAGCGGCAGGAGTAGCCGAACTTTTCTTCAAGAAAGTGTTCATGCGCTTCGGACTCTATGACAAGATCATCTCGGACCGAGGCCCCAAATTCGCCTCGAAGCTAGCAAGAGAGCTAGGACAACTCCTCGACTACCAAGTCGCACTTTCCACTGCCTACCACCCTCAGACAGATGGCCAGACCGAACGGCTCAACCAAGAGCTTGAAACCTACCTCCGGATCTACTGCCGGACGACTCCCTCCGAATGGGCAAAGCACTTGCCTATGGCCGAATTCGTTCACAACTCA